TTATTATGCAAATCGACTTTCATTTATAATTGAAAATTGTCAACCACGCCAAAATTTATATAAATCTAATAAAAACTAATTTTTCAAAAAATTGTAAAAAAGGGCTGTTTTAATAGATAACACCCCATATTGAAAGCCCAATACGTCATTGATCAGAAGGACTGAATTATCTATAATTATCAGAGGGACATTTTCCCTTGGCAGCACTCATATAATAAAAGAAAAAAAAAAGTCTTTCGTGTTAATAAACCATAATGTTCTTTAAGTTTGTCAAATCGCCCTAGTTGTATAATACTCAACCTAAGCCTTAAACCGTGCCAAGTCAGTTCCGTTCCTAACCCGTTGAGTAAGCCTTGAACGATGTTTTCCTTTTGTTGTGTGTGGGTTGTCCATTTGGCCCACGATACTACGTTCCTGATTTTAGCGCAAAAGCGTCGCACATCTATTTTATAATGATAAAATTATTTTACATCTTAATCGAATCGTCCGAAAAATCATTTGGCAAATTTTATCAGGTGTCACAGAATTTATAAAAACAGCTGTAAAGACTATTGACCTCGAAAAATCACATGACCGATCCTACGCCCTGTCAGGGGGTAATTAGTAAACCCAAATGATGCATGTGATATTACGCAAAACTGATCATCTATATATCAGTATATTGGGATTTACTTATTTTTTAGATCACATCTAACAACTAAAATTTTTACGCATCAACTTTTTTATGCTTCGTTTTTTTTTTATTAAAAACTTAAGTTCACAAACATGCCTCGATCAACAAATTTGTTGGTATGTGAATAAAGCGTAACTTTATATCTAAAATTTTGCTATGAAGTGTATTGAGTTAAAATTTTAATTTGAGTACAACTTCAATAATTTCTAATATAAGCACCTTTTTTTTACAGGCATTAAATCTCTCGGAGTTTTTCATAAATGGGCTAATCAGTTTACCCAATACTTCAAGATTACACCATCTAGTGAATAGTCACCCGTAGGTTATAAGACCTGGGTACTCGAGTGCATCACCGAACAAAAGATATATGATAAATTTTATGATGCACTAAGGGCCATAAATGATCCTACGGAGCTTAGAGACGTTACAAATAAATTATTGGAAAAAGAGGTGGGTTTTTTTTTTTTTTTTTTTTTTTTTTTTTTTTTATACAAATATCAAGAATAGGTTGATTTTTTTTCAGGCCGACATTCACTATATTATTAAGAATTGTCTGCAGAAAATTAGATCGATCAAGAATATTTCTATTAATAGAATAATAGTGGTGTGATTTTTGTTCGAGTTTTTGAGTTTTGTTATTCTGAAAAAAATTCTCTTTCAAGTTCATTAATCGAGGCTGTTAATAAATAATTCTAATTTTCAAAATTAATTTTTATGTTAATGAAGACGGAAACCACGTCGGCCGGTAAAAAGAAAGGCAGAGAAGATCAAGTTTCTGGCCACTCCATGAGCAAGTGAATTCGGATTACCGATTCGGAAAGTGAACGTAAGTGAAGACACTCAAATAAACATTTGTTTATATCTTGAACTCTTATATTTTATTTTTTAGTTTTGAACCAGAAGGAAGCGTCGTCATCAATTCCACCTTCTACAACTACAATGTATGATATTAAAAAAAGATCAAACGGAATTGATACACAGACATGTTAATTATTTTATAAGAGTTTATTTGGTTGGGATTGAATATTAACGTGTAGTTATAGGGGATGTACGATTCAAGAAAGATGGGTAGATTGAATAATGCTGTAGTCATATACAGTCAAACCTAACTAACTGTTTAAATAAATATCCTCTAAAATGAATACAAAATTTGAGAATCAAATTGGTTATTAAGGCTAGTTGCATAAACTGCTTAAATGAATAATGCGTAAAAAATTTTTTAATTTTATTAGTAAATCTTGATAAAAGTTATTCTATCTGAATATTTTAACTGCATAATTATTCACAAAATTTTATAATTTGGTTGGTTAAATTATAACGTATAAAAATTTTATTAATATTTTTATATTATTTAATTTTTGTAAATGAATATCCCGTCCAAATAAATACAAGATTGGTCCACCGACCATATTCATTTAGACAGGTTTGACTGTAATTAATAAGGAGAGATGTAAGAATGTGATTTATAAATGTAACATGTTAAGAAACACAGATGTGTAAAACGAAGCTTTTGCATACATTACGGCGCATTTGTAAACTACCCTAAAATTTAAAAAAAGTTTGACTACTGATACGTGTAGTGAGTCAATTGAATTTAACTTCATGTATACATATCGATATGAGTTAGAGTTATTAAAATAATTTTGAAATATGTCCTGATTTACTACTGCACTCCAAATCTAACGTCTAGTCCATTCAACCCATCTTTCTACTTATTGCTTAACTTTCTTAATTCGACAAATGCGCCGTAATGATAAGTTAAATGAGTAATTTGATAAAGTTTATAGGATGTAATGTGAAATGAGAATGGTAAAAATTAGGGCCACCGGAAGTCATCGATAGCATAATAAAGTCGATTCCGAACAAAAAGCTTAAGAACACTTTATTTATAAATAATTACATCGCATATATCGAACAACCGTAATAAATTCTGAACATGATATAAGTAGTACGCATTTGATCGATTTATTAATTACATATAACCCTTTTATTTATTAAAATAGTAACATATATTAATTACGCTTTAAATAGCGATAATGCAATGCAACATCAACGATTAATATCAACAGTGCAACTTTCAAACTTCTGCCAATTAAAATTTGACGTACGTAGTTTAAAATTGTAAAATAAAGACGTCATGTCATATTCTAATATCACTTTTATTAATAGTAAATTATCACGACTTTAAAAAAACAATTAAAGAATAATCAACTTTATTTATTTTTTTATACCACATAATTTTTAAGTTAAATTTACTATGCAAACACTAATGATGCCAGACGAAACTATTTTGCGATTTGACGAAACTACACGAAACTCTTGACGACCAATGAAATATAAAAATGTAGCTGTCTATCTTTCAATAAGCTCCTTTATAACGACCTCTGGATATTCTGAATCAAAAAAAATTCAAAATTACTGTTATTT